CATCTTCAGTGTTATTTCACGGTACAAGAGGGCTGCTGGAATACCAACCATTGTTTCTGAGTTGAGGGTTGCAAAAAGAGGGCAAAAAAGAGACACCTCCCTGTTGAATCAACTCTGAGTAGCTTTCTTGGAAGTTCCATGCAATTTACATTTCCTTGGGAGACTTGGGACTTAGCTGTACCCAAGTTCAAGGGCAGCAATGTGGCCAGCTAAAATTCAGGTCTATCAATAACAAAGAGGAAAGAAAAAATGAATGCTGGGTTAGTTAGCAGCCTCTGACACAGTATTTTCCTCTTTTGCATTTGATATTTATGTATACTGAAGATCAAATGCTTAGAAACATAATGTTGAACTCTAGCAAACTATTAAAAATTTTTGGGGGGGAGGGAGAGCAATACGGAATATTCTCTTTTAATAGAAGGCAGAATTCATAAAGAAATATATTGAAATATTTTTCAAGACTTTGATCTTACTACAAAAACTCACTTTTTCTTACTCACCCCCAAAAGACCCTTTCTCTGGCCATCAGTGTTAGTCAGGGATGGCAGGCCACTAGGCAGATAGCAAATGGAAGGGCCAGTACCAGAGGTCAGCTGATAGTGGTCTGGGTGCTAGGCCAAGTTTGGTCAAGCAGAGCTTGCTGTTACAAAACAATCCTCAGTTGTAGCAAAAAGAAAGTTTATATATTGATAATGATGTTAGGGGGCTATGTCTGTGTTTGGGAATTATTCTGTAGTTTTTTTGCTTCAGCAGTCACTTTTTATCCCATTAAGCAGTAGAGGGGCCAAAGGAAATCTTTCCCTTCGCCCTCTGAAGGTTTGCTAAAAATCAACTGATAAAAGGCAGATTAATAGGATAAAAGGCATACAAATTTATTAATGTGCACAGGGGAGAATCACAGAGTAATTACCCTGTCATGCAATGGGGTACAGATGGTTACATACCCTTCTTCTTAGGGGAAAGGGAGATGGGGAAGTGTGGATGATTTTAGGAGAGTAGTAAATTATTTTTAGGGGACTTCGATGGGCTTGAAGAACATACAATGGCCTAGGACAAAGTCATAATGGTTTGTGACAAAAGTCTGTCCAGGTATGTTGATAGACTTCAATCTTTTTTCCTGCAGTATGGGTTCAGTTAATGAAAACTCAGGGAAGGGACCAAAGGTAATTGTTTTCTTCTTTAGCAGGTTCAGACTTTGGCCAGATTCATCCTGTGCTTTGGGAGAGACAGAGGATTCAAAGACAGGAGGGGACAAGAGAAAGGTCAGAGAGACCTTGAGCCTTATTCAGTTTAGCATGTCGAAGTCCCATCTTTTGAGGTATCAGTTCCTGAGCACCGACAGCAGTTACTCTCCATTGCCCCCTTTCCCCAACAGCTAACAACCCCAATCTGCCCTCTGTTTCTATGAATTTATCTAGGGAAACCTTCTCTCATCTCCCATAATTCCCAACAAAATATGACTTTATCCTTACCTAAACTTCATTCAGTGATATATTAGAATTTGAAAGAGTCTTTCACCTCTTCCCTGTCTCTCACCAAAACCCCCTCCCACTTAGATGCTTTGTGCATTAAAGTTAAGTGAATTGTATATAGTGATTTTATTATTGGATTTCTCAACCATTGACTCTAATATCATGCATTTACCTACTTACGTGGATTTCTAGAGTTCTGATGTTGGAAAGTGTCCCTTTTAATTGACTCTTATAATATCGTAATTTATGACCAGGAAGTGGTCTTTATATACCTGCAATTGCAGCACATCAGCAACACACAGACCTACAAAAGGGGACAATACATATCAGCATATTCCAAAATCCAAAAAAATCCCAAATCTGAAACACTTCTGGTCCCATCAAGCAAGGGAGTTCCCAGAGAACTTTATCTTCTCTCAATTTCTTGTACTTTTTTTTACAACATTTGCATACATTGTTGTTGTTGTTAGTGTGGTTACAAAGTTGCTTAGGATTTTAGCAGTCTATCCCAATCTTATTTTCAACATAGCAAAAGGGTCATTAATTATGATATTATGGAATCCATTTAATGGATGAAAATATTGAATTGTGAAAAATCAAATAAATATTCTTAAAAATAATTTACAGATGGTTCTGATTTGCACTGTTATGCATAATTTGGGAGAGAATTCAATAATGGATCCTCTTTTCATTCCCCATCTCAAGCCTCCAGCAAATCAGAAAGATTTTAGGAAAGCGAGGCCCTGAAATCGTTACTCACAAAGTGATGGATTATAAAAATATTAGATGAACAAAATACGTTCAAAGACATGAGAGTATAATATATGCTACTATCAAAGTTCTAGGTAAACAGTCAATAAAATGATGAATATATTACAATGAACAAACTGTTTCCTAATTCAGTATATCAGACTAGCTACTTACCTTTATCTGAAATGCCAACACCTTGAATTTCCCAAGTAGTTAAAACATCAGGCAGCAAAAACACCAGCTGATGCCTGGAACACAAAATAATTTCATAGACATTCAACACAGGTGAACCTTGATTAACTTGGAACCAACTTAACATGGTCTCCTATTAATAAGAATGTTTGTGCTTTTCCCCATGGGCTCTTGAGGTGAATCACTAGGAAACAAACTTAAATCGGTGACTGTGAGTGGGGAAGATGTTAAGACAAGATCAAAACATGAGAGGATAATAGGGCTTCTTACACATTCAGAAAAATTGTCTATACATTTCATTAAGTTAAACCATATGAAATTGCTGTTTGTGTAGATCAAAAATGTTTGAATACCCGCATAAACATATGGCTCAACCTAATATATGTTCTGCTTTCTTTGACCTGCTTTCATAAGAGGAACTTTAAAGAACTGTGATATCATAAACTATCAAATAAAATTAACTTATATTTAGTGAAGCCTAATAAGAAAAGTGGAATATACAAAAATGGTTGAAACAAAAGGAATTTTCAGAAATCAGAAGTGCATTGGTTAATTTATGTGCTTCGTAGACATTTCCTAAGTGTCTATTATATACAAGACATGTTCCTGGGGCTAAATAAAAGGATAAGTAACAAAGGGTCTGTGTTCAAGGAATTTTTTCTCAAAGAGGAGGGAAATATGGAAACAAATTATCATAAAGGGTAGTAAGTGCTTCACTAAAAGTGTTTACAAGCTAAAATAAGAATGTAGAGAAGTTATGTATGTAATTCTTTGGAGGCCACTTTTTGGAGAACCGAATGCCTGCGTTGGGTTGTTAAATGTAAAATGGAGTTTGTCAGGAGTGGGGGGTTAAGAAAGAGGATTTCCAGGAGAAGGTGTGACGACTGCAAGGAATGTATACTGCTGGAAGAGGAAGCAGACAAAGGGGATGATGGTAAGGCTGCTGGGAGATGAAGCTAGAGCTGTTAGCGGAGCCAGGGATGAGAGCCTCCTAATCTACATAGATTTTGCTGGGTATATCATGGAGAAGTGGTTTTAGTGGGGAAGTGGCATGATTAGACTTCTATTTTAATAAAATCACTTGGGTGGCGGTGTTTGGAGAATGAATTGGAATAGAGAAGTAGACAAGGCTGGAGTGAGGGAGTATAAAGTATGCTATTGGACATCAAGCAAGTTGTGATAATTGAACAAAAACTGATCATTTCCCAAGCCTTTTGGCTAGTGAGTATTTTACAGTGTGTGTTTATCATGTGAGGAAAATATTTCCTCCTTTTATTTGTATATAGAAAAATAGCATTGAAAATACATGCCTAAATGGACAATATACAGGTTGAGCATCCCTAATCCAAAAATCCAAAATCCAAAATGCTCCAAAATCTGAAACTTTTTGAGTGCCAAAATACAACACAAGTGGTAAATTCCACATGTAATTACTTAACACAAACTTTATTTCATGCACAAAATTATAAAAATATTGTATAAAATTATCTTCAGACTGTGTATAAGGTATACATGAAACATGAATGAATTTTGTGTTTAGACTTGGTTCCCAAGACATCTCATTATATATATTCACATATTCCAAAATCCAAAAAAATCCAAAATCTTAAACGCTTCTGGTCCCAAGCATTTTGGATAAGGAATACTTAACCTGCACATTGTTAGAGAATTTGTTACAAAGAAGTTGTCTGGTAAGACTAAAATAATTATATAAAAGTGCAAAGCTCAGATACCACCCCAAACTACATGCTCAGTAAAAGTTCAAGGTAAGTGAAATCATATTTGTCTGCAAAGATAATTAATTCTGCAGTTAATCCAGTTACTCAGGGAAAAACCAACCCAACAGCCAACTGAATTAACCTTGATCAAATGATAATGGTATCCTTAATTATCAAAGAAATGCTTGGAAAAGTGACAGATTATTTATTTTTCATATTTGAGTTATTTTCAAAATTTCCCAAGGAAAATAAAGATAAAAGGTTTAAAATCACCTTTTAGGTACATGATATATTCCCATATCCAGTTTTCTAAAAAATTGTTGCTTTTGGCCAGGCGCGGTGGCTCATGCCTGTAATCCTAGCTCTCTGGGAGGCCGA